ACTGAACTAGAACTGAACTAGAACTGAACTAGAACTGAACTAGAACTGAACTAGAACTGAACTAGAACTGAACTAGAACTGAACTAGAACTGAACTAGAACTGAACTAGAACTGAACTAGAACTGAACTAGAACTGACTAGAACTGAACTAGAACTGAACTAGATCTGAACTAGAACAGAACTAGAACTGAACTAGAACTGAACTAGAACTGAACTAGAACTGAACTAGAACTGAACTAGAATTGAACTAGAACTGAACTAGAACTGAACTAGAACTGAACTAGAACTGAACTAGAACTGAACTAGAACTGAACTAGAACTGAACTAGAACTGAACTAGAACTGAACTAGAACTGAACTAGAACTGAACTAGAACTGAACTAGAGCTGAACTAGAACTAGGACAAAGCTTCAAATGAACTAGAACCGATCTAAAATTGTAAATAAATCAACATTTTTGTATGAATTTTAATAAAATACATAGTCGTTTTCTTTTATAACATATTTAGTTTTCTTGACTCAAAATATATCATTTGAAAATATATTTTCTAATTTCTTAAATTTATTTTCTTCTCTTTACAGAATTCAAAAACATCGTACTTAATTTACATACCAACTACCAACAAACTTAAACTAATATTAAACTTAGTTTAGAAAAAATAAACATAAATCCCCAAATAAATCTTAGAAAAATTAATGTAGAGAAAATAATATAAAAAAAGGAAAAAATTAAAAAAAAACATTACAAATGTTTGCGTGATAAAACATTCTAAAAATTTTAAGAAACCCAAAAGAAACAAAACTCTCCCTACAAACACTCCAAATAAAAATCCAAAATATATATAAAAACAACTGGCAACAGAGAGAAACATGTTTTACGACCTTTTGACAAGAAATTCCAATGAATATTTCTATCAAGGTCCGGCAGGTCGAAAAAAAGGTGAAAGAGCTAAACACGAACACGAGGCAGAAGAAAAAGAATTTATAAATTTCTTCTCCCAGCAGCAAAACACCTTTGGGCCGCAAGAAACAAGGCAGAAATTAGAAAGAGCTGCCAACAAAATGGCTGTTAATAAGAAACAACAAACAATAATGATGGCGTCTCAAGATGAGCGCGAGGAGTCAAAGGATAAGAAGACGCCATCGTTAGAGCAAGAAATGAATTTGGCTCGAAGGGCATGTTGGTGCAATAATAATTTGGATGACTTAAAGGGTCAACAACAACAAGAACAACAATTAAAACAAAAATGCTGTGAGAATTGCTTTAAACGTCTAAATGAGGACAACAAACACGATAATGATAATGTAAATGAAAAGAAAATGTTATTAATGAAAATGAAGAGAATGATGAAGATGATGAAGAAGATGATGATGTTAATGAAACAACGGTTTTGAATGGTGCTAAAAACTTTAGTAAAAATATTAATAAACTTAATAAAACTACTAATAATGATAATACAACCACAACTACAACAACTAAATAGTAATAGTAAAATGTTTAGTAATACAAATACTACCACAACTACAAATAGTTTAAGTAGAAAGAAAAATCTTATAAATAAGCACAAAATGGAGCCAGGAAATGAAACTACAACAATTTCCTCTTCCTCTTCTACAAAATCCAAAGATGCTGCTAATAATTCCTCTGTCTCTGACTCTGCCTCCTCCCCCACCACTGTAAATAATAATAATGCCACAAATTGCAATAATAGTCTTAGCAACAACAACAACAGCAACAATAACTTCATGGCCTATTTGCGTGTTCTGCTACTACACTGTGGTTGGCATTTGTGGAATTTGTGATAAAAACACTATTAAAAAGAATGATCCACGTTTTGCTCCCTATCGTCCCACGGAACAAAAACAAGATCAGCAGAAATCACAACAACAACAACAACAGAATCAACTCCTAATAATTCCTCCTCAACGAAAGCGAAAAAAACCCTTTCAATTCAAATTGTTGACAAATAAGAAAATGATTTTCTTATTTATTGTCTGTGTTTTCTTTTCCTGTGTCAATCGCATTGAAGCCCGTCCAAATTTGGAAAGTTCTAATAATGCTATAGTGGGCGAAGCCTCACCTGGCATAGTTGCTACCAGTGATGGCGGTGCAACTGTTAAGGCCATGGATAATAGTGTTTCCGGTAAAAGTAATGTAAGTCCATACACATTTTTTATTACTTTCTATAATTTTTTATTAATATCAGTACATATTTATGACACGATTTTTATAAGATATATCTCGTTTAACTTGTAAACATATTTAGCTTTAAGACCTATAAGTTGTATCCAATAAGGGGTCTTTTTCGATTTTTGGTGATTTTTTAAAAATTAAACATTTTTCAATAATTCACTCGAACAAAATATGATATCAATACTTAATATGGAATAAAATCAATATTTCACATTCGATTTTTATTAAATATATCTCATTTTATTTATAACACACTTAGCTATATTGCCTATAAGTTAGATCTAAATTGGGGGCTTATTAAAATTTTTACGAATTTCTAAAAATCAGAAATGTTTCATTATGCATTTTGCACAGAATGCAAGGTTAACAATTAATTTTGAATATAATCAGTATTTATGCCTCGATTTTAATAAAACATATCTCATTTTATTTGTAACATATTTAGCTTTAAGACCCATAAGTTGGATCTAAATCGAAGGCTTTTTAAAATTTTTACGAATTTCTAAAAATCAAAAATGTTTCATTATGCATTTTGCACGAAATGCAATGTTAACACATAATTTTGAATAGAATCAGTATTATGCCTCGATTTCAATAAAATATATCTCATTTTATTTGTAACATATTTAGCTTTAAGACCTATAAGTTGGATCTAAATCGGGGGCTTTTTCGATTTTTTGTGATTTTTAAAAAATTAAACATTTTTCAATAATGCACTCGAACAAAATATGGTATCAATCATACATGGGAGAAGTTAATTATATCGACTAATTAATTGACGATTTCATTAGCATTAAATTGAAAAAAATTATAATTATTTTTTTTTTCATTAGCATTATTTTCTCTAATGGTAATGCTTTTTTAATGAAACGATTTCATTAGTAATTATTTAAAAATAAATTTTCATTACCATTATTCAATGGATTTTAAAAATTTTCGAACATTAGTTCGAATTTCGAAATTAATTTCGAATATCCGAACATTATAATGTATTTTTCATTAGGTGAAATCATGTATGCCAAATTTCAGCACATTCAGACTAGAAGAACTAGTTTTAACAGCTTTAAAAATTTTTCGAACACAAGTCGAATTTTCGAATTTTTTTTTTTTTAGGTTTTATGACACAGAGATTAATTTAAAAACATAAAAAAAATTTTCGAAAATAACTTCGAATTTTCGAACTTAATTTCGAATATTCGAACATATTATTGTATTGTCATCAGATGTACTTATGACTGCAAAATTTCAGCCAATTTGGGCCACGGGAACTGGTTTTAAAAGCTTTCAAACCTCGAATCTTCGAAAAATTTTCCTTAATATATTTTTCGACAATTATAAATACTAATTAAATTCGTTTTTGAAAATTCATTATCAAATTCATTACCATTATCAAAAAAAGTTATAATGAAAAAAATATAATTTTCATTAAATGGTACTTAAAATATTTTTCATTACAATTTTTTCTATAAATGGTAATGAAATTTTAATGCTTAATGAAAAATTCCCATGTATGGTATCAATACCTAATGTCGAATAATATCAATAATTCTCATTCGATTTTTGTAAAATATATCTCATTTTATTTGTAATATATTTAGCTTTATGCCCTATAAGTTGGATCTAAATCGGGGGCTTTTTCGATTTTTGGTGATTTTTTAAAAATTAAAAAATTTTCAATAATGGGTTTTGTACAGCATGTTAAGTTAACACTTAACTATAAATAAAATCAGTATTTATGCCTCGATTTTAATAAAACATATCTCATTTTATTATCAACATATTTAGCTTAAAGACCTATAAGTTGGATCTAATCGGGGGCTTTTTCGATTTTAGGTGATTTTTTTCAAATTAAATTTTTTCAATAATTCACTTGAACAAAATATGATATCAATACTTATTGTTGAATAATATCAATATTACTGATTCGATTTTTGTAAAATATATCTCATTTTTTTTGTAATATATTTAGCTTCAAGACCTATCAGTTAGATCTAATTAGGGGTCATTTTCGATTTTTGTGAATTTTAAAGATTCAACATTTTTCTATTTCTGATTTCATACAAAATATTGTTGATATAAACACTTAATGTTGAATAACATCAAGATTTCTGATTCGATTTTAGTAAAATATATCTCATTGTATTTGTAACATATTTAGCTTTATGTCCAATAAGTTTGATCTAAATCGGGGGCTTTTTTGATTTTTTACGAATTTTAAAAATTAAAATTTTTTCAATAAATCACTCAAATAAAATATCATAAAAAATACTTAATGTGGAATAATAACAATATTTCTGATTCGATTTTATAAAATATAACTCGTTTTATTTGCAAAACATTGGCCTAAGCCACTTAGCCATCACCACTGAAGTCATTTATATATTTATATTAAATGCCAATATTTCTATATTCTTTTTAAAAATATATATTTCCCACAACTGGTTACTTCATTGTCTAAGGCGGTTTCTTGAATATTTCTTGTATATTTGCAGTCTTGTGCTTACGGGAAGTTCCCTCATCTCAATCTATACTAAATTGGCTGCTGAGTACTCACGACATTTTCCCGTAGAGGCGAATTGTTTAAACGATTTCAAGGAAATGCACGAATTATGGTGGCACGATCTCTTAGCAATTCTATAGAAAATTAAAAATTTTTTGAGATTTATTTTGAAATTGATTTTAAAATTTACAAAATTATTAAAAATCCCTTAAGAACCACAATTTCTTCTTATTATTAACTACTTGCTAACCGGTTTTTAAAATTATATTCTTTAGAGTTTCTGGTTTTCTATACTATTTCCGTTTTTTGCGGCTTTTTAAATTATTATTTCATATTTTTAAAATAAATTTTAATTACAATTAATAATAAGTATCATTAGGACTCCAGTTAAGTGTCTAGACCTGTTATTTTCTTTTAATTAATTATATCTGTCAAGAGTTTTAAGTATCTTAAAAAAAAATATTTAACAATAACTAAACAAATAAAAATTAATTAAAATTTAATTAATTTGTTGTTATGACAAAAGGCGCTAAAACTTTTATATGGGCATTTACATCGAAAAGTCTATATTTGTCACATTACGTCATTCAGTTAAAGTATCAATATATTAATTGTTTATATTTCAATCTAGAGCTCAAATAGTTTTATACCTAGGATAGAGAAAAGTGACCACTCGAACTGAATGTTCCTAAGATATAGGCAGTTAAAGCCGATTTAGCGATATTAGTCGTTTTGTTCTTAGATATAATGAACTCATTTTCAGAAGGCCTCAGAATCTGAAGAAAAAGTTAAATTGAGCCGACAATTAAGACGGCGCCGATATTTTATTTAATAAGCCGTCGGCGCCATTCAAAAATGGTTGCACCGCCGCCGCTGATCATTTTGCATCAACTTCTCTCTCTGCCTCAGATATCTAAATCTGGAATACTTTTATCAGACATGTTGTCGAGAACTTTTCTAGAATTTAGAATATATTTAGAATGATATTTTTATGTATATAGTTATACAATATGTAATCAAAGAAAGTTACACGAAAGACCTTTCATTTGATATACATTATGTCTAGGAAAAGAACTATGTTTTCGAGATATATAGGAAGCTATATTTAAAATTGTAGTTTAGAGATTTTACTCATATCTCAACCATCAGAATCAGAAACACCTCAAAATATGTTGCAGATTCAAAGTTACGATTGTTTTATTTAAAACGAGATATATCTGATTAAAAACGATATATAATTTTTGAATATATTTACCATTATGTATTGCTATCACATACCACTATTTCTGTAACAAGTAGCGATACAAAACCAAAAACAAAATAACTTTACTTAAGTAAATATTAATATCTTTATATTATTTATTAAGTAAATAATTTTTTGAAGTAACAAATATGTAATAAATATTATCAAGTGTTATCGATAAATTTATCACTAGAAAAAAAAGAAAGATAAATAAACTTGAAAATGTATTAATTGTTAAAGATACTGACATAGACCTTGACATTAAAATCAATTAAGAATGAGAGGGTGCTTGGAAAAAGGGAACGATACTAATACTAAATATCAAGGGCAAGTTTTAATATGGCAATGCCTTAACTGACACAAGTCCCTTTTACGTAGCGCGACTCGGGTACATTTTATTAGTTTATATCTTTATTTAGGACGCAAATCTTTCAAAATGTTTATATAGAAATCTCTAAAGACCAACATAGATAAAAATTTATGACAAAATTTTTTAGATAATTTTATTTTTATAGTTTTAATAAAAATATTTATTTAACAAAAGATTTTACTAAAAACCTTCATATTTTGCTGATCTAACGAAACACTGGATCTTATCAAAATTTTAGTAAAAAACAAGTGACAGCACTAACTTCTGACAATGTCGAATCTTATATACCCTTCAGCATAGTATATTTTAATCAAAAAGAAAAATGGACTATAGTCTTGACTGTAGTCTGAACTATAGTCTGGACTATAGTCTGGACTGTAGTATGGACTATAGTATATAATATAGTCTGGACTATAGCCTGAACAATAGTCTAAACTATAGTCTGAACTGTAGTCCGGACTATAGTCTAAACTATAGTCTGAACTATAGTCCGGACTATAGTCTGGACTATAGTCTGAACTATAGTCCGGACTATAGTCTGGACTATAGCCCGGACTATAGTCTGGACTAAGCCTGGACTATAGTCTGGACTATAGCCTGGACTATAGTCTGGACTATAGCCTGGACTATAGTCTGGACTGTAGTCTGGACTATAGTCTGCACTGTAGTCTGGACTATAGTCTGCACTGTAGTCTGGACTGTAGTCTGGGCTATAGTCTGGACTATAGTCTGGACTATAGTCTGGACTATAGTCTGGACTATAGTCTGGACTATACTCTGGACTATACTCTGGACTATAGTCTGGACTATACTCTGGACTATACTCTGGACTATAGTCTGGACTATACTCTGGACTATAGTCTGGACTATACTCTGGACTATAGTCTGGACTATACTCTGAACTATAGTCTGGACTATAGTCTGGACTGTAGTATGGACTATAGTATATAATATAGTCTGGACTAT